CAGAGAAGACAAAAGAAAGTATTATGAAGCCATGGCCAATGAAGCAGAACAAGCTGCAGGCAAAGGAGACCTCGCAACACTTCACCAAACAACTAGGTACCTTTCAGGCAAAAATTCGTCACAAATTAAGCCAGTGAAGGATGAAAATGGAAAGTCAATCACCAAAGAAGTGGAGCAAAGGAAACACTGGGCTGAACACTTCAAAAGACTACTAAACCGACCGCCACCTACAACGCGCCCAACAATACCAACAACGGAAGCAGAATTACCAGTGAACATCAACCCCCCGACGAAATCAGAAGTACTGAAGGCAATCAAGATGCTGAAAGCTGGGAAAGCAGCAGGACCAGATGGAATCCCAGCAGAAGCATTGAAAGTCGACCCAGAGACAACAGCAGACCTGATGACGCCACTACTTGAGAAAGTGTGGAAAGAAGGCAAAGTACCCGAGGATTGGAAGAAAGGATACCTATTCAAACTACCAAAGAAAGGAGACTTAAGTCAATGCAAGAACTGGCGCGGAATTATGCTCCTTTCCATCCCAAGCAAAAAACTAAGCCGCATCATCCTGGAAAGGATCAAACAAGCCTTGGATGAAAAACTTCGACCAGAACAAGCTGGATTCAGGAGTAACAAGTCATGCATTGATCAGATCGCTACGTTACGGATCATCATTGAACAAAGCTTGGAGTGGCAGTCACCTCTCTATCTCAACTTCATCGACTTTGAAAAGGCCTTCGACAGCGTCGATCGAGAGGTGATTTGGCAACTACTTCGCTACTACGGGGTGCCGCCGACAATTATACATCTCATCCAACAGTTGTATGACAACGCTGCATGCCAAGTAATCCACAACGGGAAGCTCACGGAATCCTTCGAAGTGAAGACAGGAGTAAGACAGGGTTGCCTACTATCGCCAATGATTTTCCTGATTGCAGTAGATTGGATAATGCGACAAACAGCGGGCAATGAGGAAACAGGCATAAAATGGACCCACACAAAGAACTTGGAGGATCTGGACTTCGCCGATGATATATGCCTGATTTCCCACAAACTGGAAGATATGCAAGTGAAAAGTAACAAGTTGGCAGAAGAAGCATCAAAGATAGGACTCCAGGTGAACATAGAAAAAACAGAGGTGATGAAGATCCCTGGCCAACACCAACAACAACAACAGACAGCAATCAGCATAAATGGAAAAAACCTGAAAGAAACTACCTCCTTTACCTACTTGGGAAGCATTGTTTCAACTACAGGCGGAACTGACGAGGATATCAAAGCAAGGATCGGGAAAGCAAGGCAAGCTTTCATTACTCTGAAGTCTGTGTGGAGGACAACATCATTCAGCGTCAAAAATAAGATCGGGATTTTCAACTCCAATGTGAAGTCAGTACTACTATACGGATCAGAGACTTGGCGTGTCACAAAGAGCACCTCAAACAAGCTACAGACCTTCATTAACAGATGTCTTCGCTCAATACTCAAGATCAGATGGCCGGAAAGGATCAGCAACAAAGATCTCTGGGAGCGAACCAACCAGGAACCCATTGTGAAACAAATAGGCAGGAAGAAATGGAGATGGATTGGCCACACTCTGAGGAAACCAGCAAGTGACATCACTAGACAAGCCCTCGAGTGGAACCCGAAAGGGAAGCGGCGAGTTGGTCGTCCAAGGGTGACCTGGAGGAGATCATGTGAAGAGGAGATGAAAGCATGTGGGCAGACCTGGAGCCAGGTGAAAACTCTAGCAGAGAATCGAACGCAATGGAGACGCATGGCTGAAGCCCTATGTTCCTCTAGGAACTAAAGGAAATAATAATAATAATAATAATAATAATAATAAGACGTCATTTGTCTGTCTGAATAGTGTAATGTATTTGCGCAACACATTTCGAACAATCTGATCCATCACACACGGACTTGTCATAGGAATATATATGAAATTAATAAAGAGGTAAAAGGTGAGAAAATAGACTTAGGTCAAGTTTAAAGGACATATTCAAGGTCAAAGTAACAATGAAGACCACTAAACCAAATAACAGAGGTAATAGTACATCTGCTATAGTGTCAAAAGAAAATTTACCAAGGAAGGTTTAATGTGATGACGAATTGTTTTTGAACACATAAAGGTGGCTTAAACTTTCTAATTGCTAGGGCTTCCACAAACTTTAGGATACGCCCCAAACACGTTTTATAGATAGGTTTAAAAGATCTGTTAACGTCAATTTTATGTCCTGTCTCCATAATATGTTTCGCAATAGAAGAGCTAGGTCTCCTGTTCTCACCGTTAATAGGTTATTCTACATTAAAAAATGTTTCCGTCGTATAACTGGCCATTATTGTAACGACAACAAATATTATATTTTATTTAATTGGTGGATGGTGACTAGCAGTGGAATCCAGGACGCGCATTCCGCCCTATTTGGGATTCGTCACTGGATGTACCTGCATTCCACAGTGGGTGATGATGTTCACACCAAGGCCCAAACCCAGTGCCCATAGTTTCAAACGCCAAAGCGTTATCCACAGCTAGTCACCATCGTCCAATTAAATTCTAACTACATGTCCAGACATCGTCGAAGCATCTGCACAAGAAGCCGACATGTCAACCGGAAACCGAGCACTTCGGTCCAATCAATCGACGAGAAAATCTAAAATTCAATTCAATTATTATATTTTATAACCTCGCCTAGATTACTAGGTCACTAGTATTCTAGCCGGTCCCAAGCCCGGATAAAGAGGGAGGGTTGGGGCGTGGTGCTAGCAACTCCACCCCCAAAACTTAACCAAATTGCTACTAAAACTTCAACGCACAAATATATTCAAAATTCTAAAATTACAAATAGTGACCTTATTTTTCACTGGAATCGGGGAAGTGAAATGACGCGGGCTGGTGAAAGCCTTCGGGAAGCCAGTCAGCCGATGTGCCTTCTTTCGATGAAAGCGAAAATAAGGATGGGGACGTGGAATGTTCGTACAATGTACGAAGCTGGGAAGGCTGCTCAGGTAGCCGCAGAAATGAGGAGATATAAAATAGAAGTGTTGGGAATCTGCGAGAGCAGATGGAACGGATGTGGAAGGAGCCAACTATCAACTGGAGAGACAATAATCTACTCCGGTCACCCAGAGGACAATCACGAGCACACCGAGGGAGTAGCCATCATGATGTCACCAACAGCGGCTAAAGCTCTCATGCAGTGGGAACCAATCTCCTCCAGGATAATGACAGCCAGGTTCAACTCAAAAGGAAAAAAGGTTACAATCATTCAGTGCTACGCGCCTACAAACGTCTCAGAACATGAGAAGAAGGAGGATTTCTACAGTCAACTACAAACAGTAATGGACAACGTCCCAAAGAGCGATATCAAAATCCTGATGGGCGACATGAATGCGAAACTGGGAGGAGACAATACAGGAAGAGAACTCACCATGGGTCGTGAGGCCCTCGGTGAAATGAACGAAAATGGTGAACTCTTCTCAGACTTCTGCGCCTTCAATGATTTGGTGATTGGTGGCAGTGTGTTCAAACACAGGGATATACACAAGGCAACATGGATTTCACCAGATGGACACACCAAAAACCAGATAGACTTCATTTCAATCTCAAGGAAGTGGAGACGGAGCCTACTGGACACAAGATCGAGGAGAGGAGCAGATGTGGGTTCAGACCACTATCTAGTACAAGGGACTTTCAAGGTGAAGCTGAAAGCCTCGAGGATACCTGGGGATAGGCCACAATGCAAGTTCAACACTCACAAACTGAAGGACACAATCACACAGGACATTTTCACTGCAACTGTCAGAGCAAAGCAGGAAACACTACGTGGCACCACTGAGGAATCATCCGTGGAAGACCATTGGAACTCTCTGAAGGTAATTTTCAACGAAACGTGCTCAACGGTTTTAGGAAGAAAGAAGAAACAAGACAAGGAATGGCTCTCAACAGACACTTGGAAACTAATAGAGGAGAGGAGAAAAGTGAAAGAGAAAATGATTCAATGCAAAGATGGACAAGAGAAAGAGACGCTGAACTCAACTTACACAGCACTGGACAAAGAAGTGAAGAAGAGTGCCAGGAAGGACAAAAGACAATTCTACGACAACCTGGCTACTGAAGCTGAGAAGGCAGCAGGCAAAAGGGACCTGAGGACACTATATCAGATAACCAAGTCTCTATCCGGGAAGAGATCAACTCAAGTGAAACCTATAAAAGACAGCCAAGGGAACCCAATTACCAAAGAAGAAAGACAGATTAAACAATGGGCGGACCACTTCAAAGGACTCTTGAACCGACCACCACCTACAACCCGTCCAGTAATACCAACAACAGCACGTACACAACTGCAAGTTGACACCAATCCTCCAACGAAAACTGAAGTCATGAATGCAATCAAGCTTCTGAAAGCTGGAAAAGCAGCTGGACCAGATGGAATACCCCCGGAAGCACTGAAAGCGGACCCAGAAACGACGGCAGATATGCTGACTCCATTATTGCAAAAGATCTGGAAAGAGGGAAAGGTGCCTACTGACTGGAGGAAAGGTTACCTGGTGAAACTACCAAAGAAGGGCGACCTGGGACTCTGCAAGAACTGGCGAGGAATCATGCTCCTGTCGACGCCAAGTAAAATCCTGAGTCGCATCATCCTGGAGAGAATCAAGGATGCGTTGGATACAGAACTCCGACCAGAACAAGCTGGATTCAGGAAAGGCAAATCATGTTCTGACCAAATTGCAACTCTACGCATTATCATCGAACAAAGCATGGAATGGCAATCAAATCTCTACCTCAACTTCATAGACTTTGAGAAGGCCTTCGACAGCGTTGACCGCGAAGTAATTTGGAAACTACTCGAGTACTACGGCGTACCGCAAATATTCATCAACCTTATTCAACAGCTGTACGACAACGGCATATGTCAAGTGATCCACAACGGAAAACTCAGTGAAGCGTTTCGAGTAAACACAGGAGTCAGACAAGGGTGCTTATTATCACCAATGATATTCCTAATTGTGGTGGACTGGATTATGCGTCAGACAGTGGGAAACGAGAAGACAGGGATATCCTGGACCGACGTGAAGAACCTAGAAGACCTGGATTTCGCAGATGATTTATGTTTGATGTCACACAAAATCGAAGACTTACAAGCAAAAACCGACAAACTGGTCGAAGAAGCAGCAAAGACAGGACTCCAGGTGAACATAGACAAGACGGAGGTTATGAAAATAACCAACCAACAACAGCAGCAACATCCAGTGCCAATCACCATCAACGGGAGGGATTTGAAAGAGGTTACTTCTTTCACTTATCTGGGGAGCATTGTCTCAACCACAGGAGGAACGGACGAGGATGTCAAATCGAGAATCGGGAAGGCGAGAAACACATTCATCAACCTGAAACCAATCTGGAAATCTTCGTCACTCACCATCAACAACAAAATTCGGATTTTCAATACAAACGTCAAGTCAATTTTGCTTTACGGATCAGAAACTTGGCGGGTCACCAAGAATATTTTCAACAGGTTGCAGACCTTTATCAACAACTGTCTTCGCTCCATACTGAAGATTAGATGGCCGGAAAGAATCACAAACAAGAAGCTATGGGAACAAACGAAACAGGAACCAATCGCCTAACAAATATGCAGGAGGAAGTGGAGATGGATTGGACACTCGCTGAGAAGGCCGTTGAGTGACATCGCGCGTCAAGCCCTCGAGTGGAACCCGAAAGGGAAGCGGCGAGTGGGACGTCCAAGGGTGACATGGAGGAGATCGTGTGAGGAGGAGATGAAACAGTATGGAATAACATGGACGCAAGTGAAAAGAACAGCAGAAGACAGAAGCAAGTGGAGACGTGCAGTTGAAGCCTTATGTTCCACTAGGAACCCAAGGGAACAATAATAATAATAATTATATTTTATAATTATGAGAACCTGATATGTAGTCACATGATGTCTGCCTTGTTTTGCCAGTCTGATACATTTTGCTGTATGCATATTGATCGTTACTCCATTATGACTCACAGTCTATCATCTTGTCTACCTATTAACTAAATAACAATGTATGACCTATGTCACATGACATTGCAACCAATCAGAATCCAGTTGGTGGTAAGAAAAACTACTTATCAAAACAAGATTTTTCTGAACGTTTCGCTGCGTAATATGCTTCTTCTGCAGATTTTTATTAATCATCTGTCTTATTGGTTCATGTATGTCAGTTATTTCTATGTACTCTTGTATTGTATACTTAATTGACACTTTCGTGCTTTTCCACTCACACTTATTGTGTGACAGTTAATTTCGCTTGTTGGAAAATACACGTATCCATTCGTGAAAGTCGGGATCTTCTGATTTTCCTCTTCGGGTCAGGGTAAATTAACTACTAAGCAGTACCAGTCGATCCGTTATCGTGCCTTATACCAATGTCAGTAAAAAGTTTGAGCATTGTGGAATAGATGCGTCGGTGGCATAGCGGTTAGGACGCTCGCCGACCATGCACATGGTCCGGGGTTCGATTCCCGGCCGACGCACTCCTTTACCTCGCTAAGTCAGAAATAATGCTGGTGAAGAGGAAAGGTTGGGCGTGAGGCTAGCAACCCCATCCTGTAAAATAAACACAGCTACAGAAACTCCAAGCCACTAGCTTGAAGCCCTACGTTCCACTGGGGAACGTGAAGGAAAAATAATAATTATGGAATAGATCAAATAAAGTATAATTATATTTCAATAGTTTACACACAATGTTATTGGTAATATTTGGAGGAAAAGTACTGCCCGTGTTCATACCACTGTTGGAATTGTTTTGTTTAAACAATTTTGATTTGTACTGATATATTTAGTTCATTTTTTGTTCATTCATTTTTGTGTATTCAGAATTATTTTCTAGGTTGTTGACAGTCTTGCTGCTGAGTCATCCTTGTTACATGCATGGGACAAAAACCACAATATCGATTGGGACAATGTTTTTGTTCTAAATATGAACTAATATGAACAAATGGAAAGAGAGACTTATAACAAAATCTATATTCATTAAGGTCACACCAGATACATGTAACAAGGGTGACTCAATACAAGTGTCAACAATCTGGGAATATAATTCTGAATACACAAAAATGAATGAACAAAAAATGAACTAAATATATCAGTACAAATCAAAATTGTTTAAACAAAACAATTTCAACAGTGGTATGAACACGGGCAGTACTTTTCCTCCAAATATTACCAATAATAAAACTTATCATTATGTGTAAACTAATGAAATATAAATATAATTATACTTTATTCGTCCGTTATATCTTGTTAGCCCTATTTACACTCGGTCACATCATAAGAGAACGTGAAGAAGAGAAATTATTGAAAAGAGTATTCTTCGTACAGATTGACTTTTAATTCCATATGATATGGAAATATTTCACACTATGAAATCTTAAATTTGATCGACAAATATATAAAAGAGTATAGAGAAATAATAAACAGAAATATGAGGCAAAAAGAGAATGGTAATATGGAAGAACAATAGAATTATATTAGATACGATAAATCACAAAGAGTGGATGCATCTGCGCCAGCCATTGAAAACGATTCTGAGCTAGCCATATCACCAATTACCTCTAGTCATTGGTTTTACCATCCCGAAGACTGTAGCAAGTCAGGTAGTCTACACCCTACGTGGATGAAACTAACTGATGAAGGCATGTTTTGGTTTGACCACCATGTGCTAGCTCTTTTCCAACCTGATCCATACTATGTCACTCAGCTAACGTTGCCCGTTGAGGAAGGCGATGGCTAGGCATGCACAACACATGTCCTAATCATCTCTCTAAATCGATGCAGCTGCTTCGCAACCTCGTCTATGGATACCCCCTTCTTGACGCCTAACCTCAATACTGTTCACCCTAATATACGAAGTTACGCGGGAGATAGAACGCAGATACCTATGATCAAAGACAGCTAGCCGGCCTTTTCATATCTTCCACTCTCAATGGCCATGTCTTACTCATGGAGGAGGACGGAGCGGACTGCTGAGCTGTACACACGCCCTTTGGTCGACAGCCAGCCGGATATCACGTCTATGGCGTAAGTTGGCAGTAAATGTCGAACGAGCCCTCGGTATTCGTGGTGAGATTTCATCAGATGTTAACCCGCTGGTGTTGGCTGATGCAACTTCCCAAATAAGTGAAGTGGTCAACACGCTCTACCACTTCACTTCTTATCTTTAAGCGAGGAGTTAGTCGATGTAATCCAATCCTGTAGCATCATCTTACATTTGACAAGAGCGAATCGCATGCCAAACATTGGAAGATTACTCACTGCTCAAGGTGTTCAGAGGGCTGTGCATTCTGGCAGCGTCTTAACCTAGAAGTATTATATTATCTGCATATTCTAAGTCAACGAGATTATTCCCTAATAACAAGTCAACTCCTGAGTCGCTGAATTCAGTCAGGGTTAAGTGCATTAGTACATCTATGATGAAATTAAACAGAAGTTATGGGGACAGTGGATATCCATGACGGACACCACTGTTTATCGTCACAGTTGTCAGATGACAACTCTCCATTGGCTCTCACCTGGTTGCATGGGTTCAAGTAAAGTGCCTTGATCAGTGCGATGTATTTTCTCGGCATTCTCTTCACAACCAAACATTGCCACAGTACTTCTTGGTCGGCAGAATTAAATGCCTCTTTCTGGTCAAGAAATATGAAAGCTATTGGACGCCATAATTATGACTATGTTCCAGAATCTGTCGGAGGGTGCAGATATGATCAATACACCCTCTTCCTGGTCTAAAGCTTGCCTGTTAATATATGTGTAAAACTTGGGCACCGTGGTAGTATATAATAAATAAATAATACTGTTTCACTGTGATATATCTAATAAACGACCTAATATGGAATTAAAACTTGCCTGGTTCTCTCGTGTTCGTTCCTCCCAAGCACCACTTAGTCTACACATGATTACTGAGCCTAGGACTTTATACACCATATGGGCCAAGCTAATCCCCCTGTGATTATCACAGGAGGACTTGTCTCCCTTCTTGTATATTAGGATAATGAATGACTTACAACAACCCGACGGAACTATCTCTGATTCCCAAACGCTGTCTAATACCTTAGTTAACGCAGACAGTAAACAGTCTCCACCGTCCTTGAACACCTCTGGAGTCGTTCCATCAGGTCCCGCTGCTTTGCATCGTTTCAGACTAGTGACAGCTTTTTAACCACAGCGGGTGACGAAGGACCTGTCTTTACTTAGTCGAACAGGTTTGACACAGATGAAAAGACGCCACGTCTACCTAGCCAGATGACAGAGCAACGGACACACAGTCGAATGATTCACATCCCATAAAAGTTTTGATGATTAAGTGTTGTCTTTTGACATCTGTACGGTGAATGAGAGAAACTCACTTGAAAAAAATAATGAATGAGAATATAAAGTCTACTGTGATATAAAATATACTTTTAAACAACGGGGAAACAGTTGTTCAGTATCATCTGGTCTTCAATAATTCCTTATTCGTGACGTCAGTTTGCGACAAAATCTACACTGGAATTAACTAACTGACCTGATTCATCAGCTGGATGTACATGTAATCCCCAGTGAGAGATGATACCTGTAAAACTGGGGATTATAGGTATATCCAGGCGACAAGTCCCAAAAAAGGATGATATGCTCATTTTGGATTCACCTGCTAGTCACCAACCACAAAGTAACATCATGTTAATCCTCAGACACCTTCCAAGAGTCTACATGAATGGACATGATGATATGAGGCTGACTAATTCAGCTGCCACTTGCAATGCCGTTTTCGAACCCCTGTCATTTAAAGTTCAGTTGTACATTTGAAATAATACACATTTACACAAAAAAAGTCATGGTACAATTTAAAAATAAAAAACGTGCTTTACGCGTGGGAATAACACGGAAATTAACAACCGAGTTAGACAGTAAACTCGAAAAGTGAACAGAACGAGTGAGAAAGCCATAATCGAAGAAAAAACTGATAGTAAGTAGTTAATTTCAAGAATGATCACGAACTGAATTCAGATTGAGAACAACCCCAAGGAAGCCAAGGAGTTTCACGAACCTCAAACAAAGTGAAGCGCCCACCTAGGACTGCCTGATTTCCGACATACTAAAGAGAAGAATATCTAACGCCCTGAAAAGAAAATTCTGTGCTGGTATATCAGGATTGGTATTCTCAACAACTCCAAAGATAAGGTATCGCATTCGATCACTTCTATGTGTATCTACCAATTTACTTGCTCAATGTGGAGCGAGATATAAAGGTCGCCCGACGCGTGGTTTATCTGAAAGAGTGAAAGAACCCTATCCCGCTTGGCTACGAAAAAGTAACAGTGAATCAATAAGGAGTGCTGTTATTGAACACATATTAAACACTGGTCACTCACTATGTAAGGAGAATTCATTCAAAGTCAAAAGAAAGCCTCCCGAAAACA